TAGTTTCCAACGAAGCAACAAAAGAGCTCAACTCTGTCGCTGTGAATAAACATAGTCAAAATACGCCCCACTGCACAAAACAATGAATGAACGAACGTCTTACGAAGCCGGTGCCAGTCCCGCCGTCTTTGAAATATCTTGAAACAAATGGCGCCGCAAGAACTTGACAAGGTCCTGAGTGTTGAGTCCTTGGCGGAGGTCACAAAAAGAAAAGGAGATGATAACGTGCTGACTCCCTTAAAATCATGCCATTAAACGGTGTTTAAAAGAAAAAAAAACGTACTTTCCACTGGGCATCGTGCACTCAAGGGAGTTTCACAACCCAAAAGAAATCGATCGCAGAATAACAAAGGATGCATCTTCAAATTCCTTCTCCAAAGACAATGAAAGTCTCAGCCTCAACCACAAAAGAAAGGAAGGCCTTCCATCATTGATTCAGGCAACGAGAACTGAACTTTTGTACCTGAAGTAGACTATTTTCGTTCTGATTTCAGAACTGCTTGTTTCTTTGCCGTGCTCGAATGAGTTTTCGTCACATGACATCGTTTTGCATACTAAATGACACGTCAAGGCGTTTCCGGTTCCGCTTTTTTTAACAAACCGGCTACTGGGACCAAAAATCTAAAATTTAAGGCGATAAAATCCTGCGGTTTCAAAATGGATCTAATAAAGTGGCAATTGAACTTCGTGTCGCGCAATTTTGGTCTGAAATCAAACTTGTGATTTCAAATCGAACTCGCGCTGCGCACTCTTTCGATTTTGAAATCACTCGCATGATTTCAGACCAAATTGCACTCCACTCAGTTCAACTACCATTATTAATTTTTGCCAACTGTCCAAATTCAAAATAAACTGGATAGTTTTTGCCCAAACGTTTAGTTTAGCTTTGAACAAACTGTCCAATTTGAGAGTGAAATCTGGGTACTTTCCATCAACCAATCAAATGTCAAGATAAATGAAAGAACCGAGTATTGACCATTCAGGTTGCAGCTATTATAACTGCCATCAAACGTCAGCGAGCGATTGTAGCTCGCTAACTAAGTTTTTTAATGTTTTGATAATGCGGAATTTCCCGACATTTCTCTCCACCTTTTTGACGTCTCAAACTTTTAAATGGAGTCTTCAGCTAGCTTTCCAGAGATAGATACTACCGATTTACTCGAGATGAGGGAGAATAATCAGAACAAGAACACTCAAAGAAGCACAAAAACCTGGGAAAAAGTGTTTGACCTGTGGCGTGCTGAGCAAAGCGAAGTGAGGAAGCTTGAGGAGATTCCCGAAGACGAGCTATACAATTACATGTAAGAAGAATTGCCGTCCTCTAAACGTTCTGCCAAATCGTCTTCATCCCACTCCTCAAAAAGATCTTCAATATCCATGGTCTGGTTTGTTACTGTGCAGTGTAAACAAAGTTGCTGCAAAAATTAAAATTTCGCTTGCAATAGTGACGTCACAAATTCCCACTAGGTTGGAACCGATGACGCGAGTTGGTTTCCAATCCAGTCTCTTTGCTATCCATGAGAGGAAGTAATGATAGCAAAGGGCAAGTTGATGTGAGTTGACAAGACACGATTTATAGAATAGTGAAGTCCACAACGCGAGACTTATTAAACCGCCTTGTGGGCGATCTGGAGATCATTATCAGTATCTGGGCGAAGTCCTCTATATATAACCGTTCGTAAAATTACCTTATCTTACTAGAGATGAAACGATTGAGCATGCAAAACAAGGTGTTTGGGATTCTTCATCGAAATTTCTGACGACGACCACTCTTATGATATTTATGTGGACTTTCCCTGGGGCAAGAAATCACTCACTTTTGCCACGTTGTTCTGACATAGGACAATAGGAAAGGAAACATGTTAAACCTTGTACCTTGCTTTTTAGTCGCTCAGACAGATCAGTTTAATTTGACACGGGCAAAATAATGTTTCATTTTAAGGGACAAAACGGACATAGATTTATAGACAGCCGCACGTTACAATCACAGTAGCCTCCGGTGGTCTTGAGTGAAGTGATTATTTTCTTACAAGGAGTATTCAGGCTGTGTGGTGTTGTGATAATCGTATTAATTCTTAATATTGGTAATCGGCTTTGAAGGGGTCTTTTCGGCGAAGCGTCGCAGAAGTGATAACCGGACACGGTTTGAAGTGAAAGGGCCAAGCGTATTAAAAGATTTCATTGATTGTTTTGTGAGACAGTCGCACATTTTAGCGATCAAATAAAATCAAATTGTTAGTGATTATCATTCAATGTGTGCCATTTAATTTTTAATTCACTTAATAGTTAATACTTTAAATCCGCGAGGTCCAAATCAACATTTTCGCAAAAGGGTGACAATTAAAGTTATCTTCTAAACTAGCGTTCGTTAACTGCCAGCCATGCGTGACACTCAAAACATGGGGTTAGCGGGGCAAAGCACGAAACGCGAGACTAAAGCAGAAAATCCAAGGTGTATTTAATTTTCGGTCTTGCGAGTTCATTTCTGGCAGTAAGGAGTTCGAGTAAACGAGACACGTACCAAGAGATAATAAACACACCAACCGCTTACTTTATTACTTTAAGGCTAAGTAGCTACTTTTTTACTTGTGTTTATAAGGTATTAAGATATTAATTAAGCAAGCCACCGAATGGCAACGGCAACGAACAAATGCCCTGAAAGTTGGTTACATTCTTAGTTGTTCTATTCAAAGCTCATTATAGCTGGCGCGAGCATGCATGCACCACATCTCTAGAGGGTTTGCTGTACTTAACGTATTATGCTAAGGACAGTTCTTAGTCAGATAAGCAGACTGAACCGAACTCGGCAAATTCAGAAGATTGGTTCGCAGAGTGGCTCTTACAAGTTATCGATGTTGTCCTTGTCGTTGCCATGGATGGAAGATGCTTGAAAACTTTTTACTCCGGCTGTGTTTCATTGACTTTTGTAACGCGAAGTCAATTCCTTGAAAAAACGGCTTTTACTTTCATAATCAGTGATAAACAAAAAATTGTTGCGTATGTGATGCAGGCTACTGTAGCTCTAAACTTTTGAAATGGGAAACATAAGATATATTGATTTCACTATGGCCATTTAGCGGAAAGCTACCAATAACATACCTAATTGCTAAGAGTAAGTAGAAGCTTGGTAAAAAACCGAATGGTAAATCAACAAATACAATTAATGCACATGGAAATCAAGCCGTCTGACGGTCATAAGCTTAAGTACTTCTTAAGATAATTTATCTGAAGCTATCGTAACGATATGATTAGTTGGTTATGAAAAGTATTTCTTATTTTATTAGAAAGAAACGCTGTCTAGCCAATTTTATTTTGAAGTTCCTATTCTTACAAGACAAAACTGACGGGATCAGACACTAGTTGATTATCCCGAACATAAAAATGATAATAAAACAACGAGGACGACAAAAGGAAACAAAACAGACGGAAAAAACAAACGACCATACAAACGAGGGCTAAGAATTACGGTAAATCCCCGAAATATTGACATTAGTGATCCGTAATTTTAGCATACTCTCACGGCACGGTTTTGTTTTCCGGGGGCAATTTTCAATTTAAAGTTTCGCCTACTTCGCTTATTTCCCTATCATGTTCTTTTAAAAATGGATAAATCTCACTAATTTCTAAAAAAAAAAAAGGAATTAAAACATGAAAAACCTGTTAGAAAGTAAAACCTGTAGGAAATCCACTACTCCACCATCTCATTGGATAGTCTTTCACTGTTACCAAGCCTTCATAGATGCTACAGAGTCAACGACTGAGGAGTCGCTAATAATTGTGATATAAAACAAAAGTAAAGTCATCAATGTATTAACGCTAATATTATACATGAAAAAATTACTCGATTCTGATTGGCTGAGAGCAGTGCAGTTCAAGTGTAACACCAGTGCAAAAAGTGTAACACCAGTGCAANAAAAATTACTCAATTCTGATTGGCTGAGAGCAGTGCAGTTCAAGTGTAACACCAGTGCAAAAAGTGTAACACCAGTGCAAATTACACATCGTAATTCTGGATTATGATTGGCAGAAAGACAATAGGAAATTTTCCAAGCCAATGATATTACGTAAAATGATGACGAAAATTTTGTGTGGAAACTTTGAAAAAAGTTTTCTCGAATGCGAAAAAATGGCTTCAAGAAAGGTCTTCCGGCACTTGCTCCGCGCAAATTTTTTCATGTTTATATTATTAATAAGTAATCATACGGTGTTTCTATCCTGTAAATCATGGTGTTGAAAATGTTTAATCAGCGATTCGAGTTGAGCCATCTCAGGTTGAGTGTGACGTAATTATAATTTCACCGATCATAAAGAAATCTAATTTTCTAAATTCCCATGCAAAAAAAGAAAGGAATGTGGAAAGAAAGTTTCCGTTTCGTTCCAAGTCATCTAGATGCTACAGACCACTCCTGCATCCTCCCAATGGCTGCAGTGGTGATTTCCCCATCCAAGGTGACCGCAGCTCAGAAGCGAGGACTCTCCTCCTCCACAGCTGATGTGGTCCATCCAGATAGGGCCAGAACCACGGCCAAATATTGCGTAGTAAGTAGGGGAGGTTGCACCGGTGAAGCCCAACTGGCGACAAACCACGTCCGCCTCTCTCATATCCCAGTAGTCGTCACACACCGTTCCCCACTGTCCGTAGACGTACACTTCAACACGACCAAAGTGAAGACCTCCGTCCGCCAGACGAACGACAGATGATCCATAGGAGCACCTTACACTGGCATCTCGGCTGTGAGTGCAGTCATGGTTGCCCCATCCACGGTGTCTGCATTCATGCATATGGGCCTCACTCCCTGAGCATGCCACGTCATCCATCCAAATTGGACCAGTTCCTTGACCATGGGTGGCACTGCTGTATGCTCGTAGAGCGCGAGTGAAGCCAAGTTGCCTGCAAAAGACGTTAGCATC